TTCTTGCCCAGTTGGATAGAGCTTTCTCAATATCAGGGACTCTGCCCTTGGCCCGTTTGATGGGAGATCGACTCCCATCTTCGGGGTTTAAGTACTTTTCCTTCTGGCGAAGGACCTTGGAAACAGTGCTGTTATATGTTAGAATCAAATGAAGAGAAAACAAAAACAAGATTGTAATGATACCTTCTCTCAACTCCAAACAATGCTGCATATAAAGTCAGCCTAGCCCCTCAACGCAGATAAAAGAGATATGCTTACCTCCAATATCAGTCTGCTTAGCAGTCTTGTTTTCCTCGTGATATATACACATTTGCCGTCGGTCATCGTCGGTAAGTGTCCTGCGTGGTGTAGTCCCTCCAGTCGAGGTCTTTCGAACTTGAGGCAAGGGAGTCGAAGGCGATACCGATGTCGGTGTGGTAGAAACAGGGATTCCAGACGCAGCAAACGGAGAGTGTGTCGTGAGCATGCTGGGCCACGAATGCGAAGGCATGGGTAGTGGCATGGAGGTGTAGGGTGGCGGAACTGACATGCCATACGAGTCCACCGTCATGAGCTGCGATTGACCATAGTCAAACCCACTATATTCGGGCATGGGAGGCGAGTGTTGAGGAGAAGTAAATGTGCCTATTTCCACCCATGGTGAATGTGGGAATTCACTCTCTGAGACATGATGAGTCTCCGTTTCCATGGTGGGCTCCTCCATGGATAATAGATCTCAAGAACAATGGAGACCAGGGCTTTTCTTTTTCTTTGGTGGGGGATTTTTTTTTTTTCGGTGATAGGCTCGATTCGAGAGGAAATCAAAGAAAGAGAGACAAAAGAAATCCCGGGGAACAATGAAACAATCTAAGGGTAAGACAATAAAAGCTGATGCATGTTCCACTGCTTCTGTAGACTATCAAATTCCCCAGATAGAGAGAGTAAGGTCCCCGAGAACAGTAGCTCTATAAACTACAAAGGAAGTAGTAGAAGGGGAGAGTTGTATAAAGTATACCATATATGCAAGAAGGTCGAAGAGCATGCGGGTAAGGCAATGGGGGTTAAAAGGAAAATCAGGGCTAGGACGATCAGTATCGCGTGGATTTGACAGAACGACTTGTGAATATCGATTGCAACTGGCACGAGAAAGACCGGAAAAATCCATGATAGCCTTCCCCCGAGAGTTATCCAGCCGAACTGGTTAGTGATTGGTTGATACAGTAAAATAAAAAGTCCATTCCAAAGGAGGAAAAATCTGTAGAAAATAATATCTCAATAATACATATAATATATACAATATATACAATATTATATCGATTTTGATTTTGCGCAATTTCAAAATTATCCCTGTAAATAGAGGGGGAACGGCATCTGGTTGGTTGGACATGAGATATATTGCGGCAGGGGTTGCATCTCGTCAGGTCGAATTCGTTTTGCGTATTACACTGTAAACGTATGGAAATCTTCGTTCTCAAGGCTAACGCGGTTTTATACTTGGTTTTTATTTTTATTTTTATTTTTATATTAATTTTATTATTATTTCCCGTATGACCTTCCAACCAGGATGGCAGACTCGACGGTACGAGTACGTTGTATACTGGCAAAATATAACCTAGTATTCAATATAGGTCTAACATAGCGTCAAATGTAAGTAACATAGGATTCCAGTTGGGAAAGAAAAGAAGAAAAAAAAAAAAAAAGGGATGTAACAGCGTGACCGTTCAGTATTTTCACTCCAAACCTTGACCCAATGTTTGACAAAATGTCTAGTCCTTCACGGCAACCGTTGTTGCCTCGCTCTGACGAGGCTGAGGGTCTCTCTCTCCCAAGCTTAGGTCAAATCAGGGTTGATCACCCGGAAAGGAACGGGGTTCGCTCAAAGCACAGCCCAATTTGTAGCTTGATTTATCTCGAAACCGGGTAGCGGATCGATGAACCGCTGAACCTAAAGCCCGCATGCACATTACAGGCGACGATGGCGATCAGGATGGACCGGGAAAAGGATAGCGGCAGGCAGACTATCGACTAGCCTCCCGTTGAAAGAGTCTTGGTTGGAGATATCTTCATTTTGGCCAAAAAAGCAAACCGTTGAATCAGAGACTCAACATCCAAATTCATGCCCTCATAGGATGGCATTTCGGGGCACGGTTCACATTGTGGAGGTGAAGAAACTGGGTCCGAGGGGTCTTAATCTCTAGTGAATACAAATCATAAAGCAGAACAAAGGGGACCGAGAGAGAAGAAGAAGTAAGAGAAAGCAAATCCCAGCAAATCCCTAAAACATAGGGAACAGATTGGACGGATTGAACAGAGTCCAGAGAAGGAAATATTACTCAATTAGGGCAAGATTATGTAGAAAGGCGGGTCCTAACCTTGGAAGTTTAGCATATGAACCGCATCAGACATCCACGAGAGATGACACGGCTAAAGTGAGCAAATGAGCAAAATGAGGAGCAGCAAGGACGATCTTTGGATGGACGAATCTGCCGTCTCCATTGCCCTGCGGTTGATACGACCTGGTCCATCCGATACAAGGGCCGAACGGCAGGTTGGAGAATCATCCTATCAGAAGGCGTAAAGGGCATCTCTTGGTTGTGGGAAAGAGGGGGAACTTCCCCCATTTCGATGCGGTTTTGGCGCTAAAATCCCTCGTCTTTCTCCACTACGACCCACTGCGGTCCCCTCCGGCCCGGTAACCTTCAACATTTCTTTGCATCTTGCATGTTGAATACAGTTCAATTTGAAAAGAGAGAGAGAGAGAATTGGATAGAAGTAAAGAACAGGTATAGACTATAGAGCATAGAGCATATAGCAATGGGAAGAGGTACGAAGTGTAGGTTGAATATCAAGGTAGTACTGAAAACCGTAGGACGGGCCTCTACAACATATAATATGCTCTCCTATAGAACGGCTATTCTCTCTTGGACGAGATCTATTTGGATACTACCCAAATATCCAACGAGACCCCGCTTGTTCGACTCAACCACGAGGAAAGCCGAATGTGAAATCGGCCTGTTTATTTACTGCCATTGGGAAGAATTTGTTCTCGAAACCTGCCGGGATGGAATGTGTCTTGAACGAAAAGAATCAAGCAAAAGCAAAAAAAAAACAAAACAAAAACAAAACAAAGGTACATATTAAAGAGGTCTGACAAATCATTCCAACACCCGTGTACTAGAAAGGGATTCAATTGGTATATTTAACAGCCCACTCCGTCACTGATTTGGTCACTGATTTGGTCGCAGTACCAATCATTATGCCTGTTGCCGTCAAATTCTTTTTTACTTTGCGCCAGTCAAATCAAGGGAAACAAAAGAAAATGTGTGACGAAATTTAAAATATTTTAATTTTAGCCCTTTTAATTAAACGGAAATCGTGTTCACTAGTAGGAGGTTTTACCACAGTTACAACATACAACATACAACAACATTAACTAGGGGGCAATTCGGGGTAGATGCTGGGCTGACGCCATTGGAGAGAGATTTCTATCTTTTAAGGGCAAGGCCATTGCTTTACACATTTCCACTATTTCGGAGATGGAGCAGGAACAAGTCTAGACCGGTCAACATTGAAATTCCCCTTCGTATAATTGCTTCTTTCAATTTGGACCGTCATTCTTGGCTGTCATATTCAAGCGGGGAGAAATTTCCTGTTACCCTCGGGGTACACAACTGTACTATGTAGGGTAACCAAGGGTTGGTGTTACTCGACTCAGGTACCGTTTGACCTGTTGCAATTCTAATTCTGTCCGAAGTATCTCCGGGAAGTTGAATTGTTGCAGAATTAATAGAATTGTCTCTACAACATAGAACATACGAAATTAATGGTAGATATGTATGTTGATAAAATACAAATCAGTATCTACTTCATACCCAATCAAAGTCTGATAAAACAAAATAAAATAAAAACAGAGCCAAAATGCTTCGCTACTCTGGGGAAAAAAAAGCATGGCTTATGCAATGCAATGCGACGGGGATGATGATGGATCCTCCACGAGAGCAAAAAAAATGTACGGAGTAAGTCTGGGTAACGACGGAAAGGACACGGTTGTGCGTGGCTTTTGCGCCAGAAACTGTGGCCTTTCCACGCTGTGCTTTATAAAACTAGTCGACCTTACTCAGTTCGTCCTAGTGCCATTCACAGCTTACTTCTTTTGAGACGAGCTCGGCGCATACACCATGATTATAGGGAGCAGAAGCAGAGCATTAAGGACGAGGGGGGAATAGAATATAAGAGGCTTTCCTCTTCCTTCTTGAGATGTTGTTCCTTAACATATTCGGAGACTCTAATATCGCGTTTATATATCTGATTAGAGTGCTCATTTAGTTCTAATAGTCCGAAGTAAAATAAAGAAGGCCGATATTGACTAGAACAGTTTCGTTTAGCAATCTGAGCTAAAGGTTAAGGATGATCTGGCCGAGACTACGAAGGGCTATATTAATCTTATAAAGACAAAGTTCAGGGACGTGAAGAATGCAGTAAAGCAGAGACTTACGCGGCAAAGAACTCATAACCTCTTAGACTAGTAGTAGTGAAACTGAAAGCTCATGAATTGCTCAGAGAAGAGAGAGAGAGAGAAGAAGAACTATATCGTGATGGGGACTAATAACTGGGAGAGACCACTGGGGGTCGCGTGACCTCCAGCAAGATCAAGAACAGACGAAGCCTTCTATAATACGTAGTTATAATATACCATTCACTAGTTATATAGGTATAGGGTCTTGTAAAGTGAATTGCATCTGAATTCCATCTGAATTGAACCTGAATTGAATCTAAATTGAATTATATTGTAGAGGACTGTTGTAAATTTTTAGAAGTAATAACTACTATCTGAGGTTATCTCGTTACGGTTTTTCCATGAATGGCAGAGCTTTAAAGAGAATGTTCTCGAAGCATCCGATTCTTTAGACCTTAGCCATCCTGTGCCTTACACAGATGATGTGTCAGAAAGCTACGTCGTTGGAAGCGAACTTGGTTTGACCGGAAGGTTCTCCAAGAATGTCTGTGACCCAGTTTCGAAAATGTTTGCTACTACTTGCCTCTCCCACTTGAAGTTTGGTGATTATCAGTCCTCTGCAGGGCCAACGGACACGAGTCAAGTGTCTGATATCACTATGTTCAACACAACGGGACCACCTCGCCCACCGGCTGTCGGAGAACTCAAGTCTTTCCGGACAGTTGAAATTGAGGACTATTCCATTCGCGAAGACTATCAACTTTCTGGAAGCGTCAAGGTATCCTGTGTCATTTCGGGTTGGAGAACGTACGGTATTGGACATGCAGGACTGACCTCGGGGTGTGGGTCTGGAAGAGCAGGCACCAAGTGATTGGTGGGAAATGTGGGATTGTGTGGATTAAGGAAAAGTGGTGGGACTATTACATCACGTGATCACGGAGTCCGAGACTCGCCAGACCAAGAAACTGCCCCAAATTCAAGGGCTAACCTAGCGATATTAGGCTTCATAGATTGATGGTATGCTTTGACGGCATCCTGAATTCAATCCTCAATATTTTCAATTGAATTGACATGCGTGGCGTAGTAAAAAAATATATGGGAAGTTGATACAATGGTGAAAATCTGGTATCTGGTGGGGCGCTTGGCACGGCTACAACGTGCGTTATAAGGGATGCGGGCGATCGGTGCCCTCACAGTCACCTGACGAAGAGGTTACCAAGTACAACATATATTAATACAACATATACTAACCTTGGAATACAACATATATTACTACCTCCATACACCGATCTTCCATCTGAGAACGGACCAGATCGTGAACAGCCCCCTTTCTCGTTTTCACTAATCGGCGATTTGCATTCTCCACCTTACTAGAACTGTTTTGTGTCTCCGCAGAGGTTCATGAGAACTACCCAGTAGCGTGTCAGACTCAATAGACTATAAGAATTCCCTATTAGGTAAATTAATATACTTACAATACAAGAGGTATGTACTGGATGTATTGGATGGGAATCGATCAGATAAACGTTTGTAATTCGACTAATCTCTCTCTCATTCACCGCTTATTTTCTTATAAATCCCTTGTGCCTTGCCTCACTTTTTGCTTTTTTCTGTTTGGTTGAAAGATTTTTGTTAGTTTGCATATCAATCCTGTGCAGATCTGTACTTTTTTTTTCTCTCTCAAAATTCGGAAAGTAGTTGCAGGCCAGAAGCTAAGAGATTGAGAAAACGTGCTAGTCAGTTGACAGGTCCATTTGGAACCCCCTATCATGCTCTCGGTAATATACTCACTTCCTAGGCCTATCGGAAGCTAGACTAGCAATGCCGGGGTAATTAAACATATACTCCGTACTCCGTAATGCTTTACAACCCAAAACTCTCGTGGCTTTCGAGTACAACATATATACGACCTCGTCATGATCACCGTTAAACTATTAGCAGTAGGTCAATGCGTTGAGTCGCGGCCTTTCTCTGCACCAGAGTATGGAGTACGGAGGTATGCACACCATAATTACCCTTCCGGCTCTTCCGTCGAAGCTATCGAGTTCCTTTTTTCCCCACGGAGCGTTCAAGCTGACGGCTAGAAATACTGTGATCGGCATTAACAAACAGAGAGGTCTAGACCTTTTGTGGCCTGACTTGTCAGCCTCGAAAGTGAAAAAAAAAAGAAAAAGAAAATCAGAAGAGAAAAAAGCAATGCGAACAAAGAAATCAAGCCATGAATGAAAATCTTATAAACATTAGAATTACTGGCAAGGATGCTGTGCAGGACGGGAAGTAATGGCAAGGGGAACATGCCAATCGGAATGTCATTAAAATAATTGTCCATGCAGGCGTCCTCGGATCTGTACATAGGGTCTGTTAGGTACAGGGCGATAAGGAGTCGCATGATGGTACATAAATTTTTCAAGCACTGAATGTAATACGAATTGACCAGGGGGGCTGATTGGTCTGACATGATATCTTTTATTTTTATATGAAAAAGAAAAGGGCAGTGGCTTTTGTCAGGGTGGAATCGTAGGGACCAAGTACTGAGTAGTAGGTAAGTACTCCGTACGAGCAGACCGTTTATACTGGCTTTTATTTTATTTTTTATTTAGGACAATACAAGAGTGCCATAAAAAGATCTGAACTTTTTTTTTTTTTTGCGCTGATAGACAAAGAACATGAAAAGAAAAAGGGTCATCATAACAATATGGACTGGTGGCTTCAAAGGCCACAAACTACCGAAGGTGCCAAGAATATCAGAAAGACATGGCTTTTCGCCTCGTGCGTGCCCTTGGGCTTGTGTAACCCCCGAAGCCTAACTCGAGTTCATCGAATCAAGTCAAGCTATACCTTGAGACCAAAAATTCAGCAACGCTGTGCATGACCGCTGATTTTTGATGTCAAAAAGGTATCCAAGACTTTCCCCTCTAATTATGTTGCCGTGAACGAGTCTATCCACGCTCGGATCCGGTGGCGTCTTACGGAGGTCCCAGAAACCTGTCAGATCGCGGAGGCGCAACAAGGGCACAGACCACAGCGCTTGGATCATCTCGCCGCTTCGGATTATGAAGGTCAAGGAGTTGACATTAATCCTTTACCGCTTGACGATCGACACTGTAGCTGGTCAGCTTTAAAATTCATATTTCGTTTTGATTTGGTAGAATTACCGATATCTTCATCGCCAAGCTCGTGCGAAAGACCGACTCGCTGCGGCTGGTGCTTCACTGAGCGACCATACACAATGGCGTGCTTGAAATCGTCCTTGATTGTGCGGTGAATAGAGTCACACTGTTTCGTTAGTATAATTCTTAGAAAGATGAGGGCAATGCTTACGAAATTTTCGACCGTGCATGCGTAGGAACGCAGCACGACAGGTGCTGTATAGTCGGGCGCTCTGCCCTTGGGTTTCGTGTAGATTCTGCGCAGCTTGAGCTTCCCCCACATCATCTCCAACAACTCGTCGACATTCCATCCATGCTCCGAGCTAATTGGGCAGGCATCTGGAATCCGGTACAGCAAATCCAACTCTTGGATGGAAATAGCATCGATCTTGTTCAGCGCATAAATGACGGGGATGTAGCTGCGGCTCTTGGCTTCCAGGACATCAATCAGGTCGTCAATGGTGGCGTCGCATCGGATGGAGATATCAGCGGATGAAATCTTATACTCGCCCATTACAGCTTTGATTTCCTGGGATCTGTTAGTACTCGTCAAAGATTATGTGTGGAATCGACCTTACGTCGTGGTCAATATGAGTCAACGGCTGAGTGCTCGTGATGGCGATACCACCCTTGTCCTTCTTCTTGAACACAATGTTGGGAGGCTTCTTATTGATGCGAATCCCAAAGCCCTCCAATTCGTTCTCGATGACGCTCTTGTCAACCAATGGCTTATTCACGTCCAGGACGATGAAAATGAGGTTGCAAGTCTTGGCCACGGCAATAACCTGTCGACCACGACCCTTGCCGTCTTTGGCACCTTCGATAATACCTGGGAGATCGAGAATCTGAATCTTGGCGCCATTGTACATCACTTGACCGGGGACAGTTGTGAGGGTTGTGAACTCGTAGGCCGCGGCTAGAGGGTGTTAGAGAAATCGTTTGTCAAGGAAGTTTTAACGAACCTTCTGAATGTTGGCCAGTCAGTTTATTCATCAGTGTACTCTTGCCGACGGACGGGAAACCAATGAAGCCACTGCACTTGTAAGCGTATGCAATCGCAATCTTCTCGGGTAACTTACACACTGGCCACACCAGTACGCGCAACATCGAAGCCAGCTAATCACAAGTTAGCACCTAGCAGAGTGTTCAGGTCTGGAATACTCACATCCACCACCACCACCACCTCCAGATGGGGTCAGAAGTTCACGCTTGAGCTTAGCAAGCTTCGCCTTCAGTTGTCCTGCATATTGTCAGAAGACGTCATCGGTGAAAAGTCGTCGGTGTGCGCGTACCCAAGTGATACGAGGTGTTCTTGTTTTTTTGAGTCCGAGCCATCTCGGACTCGATATCCTTGATCTGTACGAAGGCATTGTCAGTAACTTGTTCGGTGCCATTTTCAAAAATCTTGACCGCACTCACCTTTTCAATAGTGGTCGACATTTTGGCGATTTGACCCAGCAAGCAAAAAATCAATAAAAAAAAACGATTAGAAATCCCTGGTACCACGGGACTTAATGTATGTCCCTCGCTAAAAACGAGTGAGTTGAGCGACAACCTTTTGAAGGAGAAATGGGACTTGCGGCGACAATCTTTGAATTGTGGCACCGCAGTTTTTAGTCAGGGCGGGGTGTGCGCCTAAGGCGACGAGGGCAATTATGTCATTGACAGCCTGAGGCATGAAATTCTTATCGCTATCGTAGCCAAATTTGATGGCAACTTGGGCAACTAACTAGTTATATACCAATGAACATCGTATTACTCGAGTTGATCTCGAATATCATAATGGAAATACATCTCTTGTACGAACTCTTATCCTAGTCTATATCTCTGTTGTGGTGGATACAACATAAACTCTCGGTTTCACCATTCGGCCAACTTCCGATATCGCTTCCTCGTTACATAGACTTCCTCCCAAACGCGCTTAGCACAACCATTCATCATGCCGTTCCTTAACGGATCCGAATCGATCACTGAGAAATCTGCCTTTGAGAAGCTCGTGGATGACCTTAGTTCTGCGCTAGGTCCAAGCTCGGGTCTGGATTCTAGCGATGTCGATCCCATGGAGATACAACTATTGATGGAGAAATACGTCTCGAATTCGGATGAATGGGCTTCATATGCGTTGGGCGACGCGAGTAGGACATACACCAGGAATCTGATTGATGAGGGAAACGGCAAGAGTAATTTGGTAAGGGAATTATCACCCCTCAACGCAACGATTACTTGGCTGACTTCGTTTCAGCTGATTCTCGTCTGGAGCCCTGGGAAAGGGAGCACAATTCATGACCATGCAAATGCACACTGCGTGATGAAGGTAAGTCATATTTGATTTGACAGATAGATAGAAGCTAATTTGGAACAGGTCCTAAAAGGCAAACTGCAAGAAGATCTGTACTCGTGGCCCGATCAAAAGCAGATCGAGGATGGCCGAATTTCACCTCCACAGCTCACCAAGAAAACAACCTATGGCGAAAACCATGTCACCTACATGTCTGACAAGCTTGGTCTGCATCGGATATCCAATCCGGATCAGGACAACTTTGCAATCTCCCTCCATCGTATGTTATCCTTTGTGAAAAAATGATGGGAGCCAAGGCTAATTGATCAGTTTACACACCACCCAACGCCGCAATTCATGGGTTTTGCATTTACGATGAACGAACTGGCAAGGCCAGACACATCAAGCAAACCAACTATTATTCGTTCCGCGGTCATCGGCTCG